GAAACAATATTGTATGTTGAATCTCATCTCTGCCTCTTTCTTGCTGTGTACAATGTAAAATGGAGAAATTATGATAGAGGCAGAGAGGAAGATTGCATTGTCTGGAAAAATAGTTCTGGAATACTGAAGTTAATGCAGCCTATATACAATGGATATTTGTGGGGAGGGTTTTGGGTTATTGAATCCGATCCTTAACTTTTTTAAACCCGAATAACAGACATCTAGAATCTCTTGATATAAGCGTACTTTATTCTTGTACTTTATGATAATACATTAGTGTGTATTCACCATAGGTCACCTTCTGAGATACAGTGAATGCTATAATGCATCCATGGTATGATGACATTTATCATAAAACTTTTCAGCCATGATCTCTATCAATGTTTCTAAAACAACGGGATGTGTGTAAATGGTGAGGCTTAATGTTCAGCTCAATGGGTGTGAGATCTTGAAAATAAGAACTTCCATTAATGATAAATATGATCCTGAAATGTACATAATTTTAAAAATATGCTTATAGTGGGGGGAAATGAAGCTTTCTTTTAATGCTGCGAANGGGGGGGGGGTGAAAATGACCAGTGGGGCATGTGAGGAGGTCGTGTAGCAGCTTCCTTTGCTGCATGGCTGCAGTACCTGGATGAATTATTTCACTGAGACGAGTTGTTTAAGTGTTTTATGTTATCTTTCTATTCAGCACATATAGAAAGAATTTACTTTTGATAAACATACATTGCCTTGTAGAGATGGATGCGAGTGGTGGTTGCATACATTGTAGATGGGCTTCATTAATATTGTTAACTTGAATGATGCAATGACTGGTTTACTACTCATAAGAGGTAGCCACTTGGTTCCAACTGCATGATTTCGAATTTGTATAGGAACATAATAGGAATACCATATATTATACAGTATTTGACACATAATACAGATTTTTTTTTTATTCATTTTAACAAATTGCTTATTTTTGTCATGAGTTGGCTGTTATCTTCCCCCCTTCATATTCTTAAGAATTGAGGATGACAGTAGTAATGTGCAAGTTTTTTTTTCTCAAATGAAGTTTAATGAATAAATGGATATTTAGATATGAATGGTACAGAGAAATGTGATAATATGTTGTTTTTAGAGTTTAAGTATTTTTCTAAATTTACATTTTAGAGTGTCTTTGCTAGTTGATATGACAGCTGCACACTGTTCTCTCTAATGGAGATCTAAAGCATCTCCTTCAAAATGTTTTACGCTTTTAGTTTTCTACTTCATAACAAACATCATTCTCCCAAAGCATTTATTGTTCAATGTGGTAGGTTTTATAGATTGTACATTATAGGATTCTTTATTATTATATCAAAATACGCTTATATCATAAAAGAGCTGTAGTCTTTATTAGGTGCTGTTAAGAGTATTTTTAAATGTGTTTTTTATGATTATTATAATTATTATTATGAAGTGGAATGCTTCAAATTGAGTGAAAGTATATAAATATGTAATGTCACAATTGCCATGTTGAAAAAAAAAATTAGGGTGCTATGTGCAGTATTGCAAGGGCTGAGTAAGGTAATTTGTTTTTAAATAAAAACCAGCAGTGGTTATAAAATCATTTTTATATACAAAGGGAACTGTAAAAAGTAATAAAATATGATAAGAATGATAAATTCCATATTATTACCACTGATCAGCAAATTGAGCAGTGCTTTAAAATGAGAAAAGGCTTGAAATTATACTCCGTATTTATGTTCCAAAACAAAGCAGGGTGAAAAAATAAAGCTAAGATAAATGGTGAAGTATTCTTACTTGACCTTTTGTACATAACCAAGATGTATATAGTGAAATTGTAAGAGAAAAAACCATAAAAACAAAATACAGAAATATGGCAGTGAGGGTTTTTTTTGTCTATTTCCTGTACGTAACCATCAGCCCTACATTTCAGACTGTCCTGCAACTAATGAAATGTGAATAGTGTACTGCAAGATACACGAATAGGAAGTGGCATGGATATTTGACTGGTAAGAATATTGGAGATGTGGTCATTCACCACATCAAACTTGGTGATGGAGACCAAGAAGATTTTAGCACAAGTAAAAATATGGTACATGTGTAGGCAATTGCACGCAAGTCCTAATCAATAACGACCGGGAGACCACCAAAGGGGATCGGTCTGATATGTAGGAGGGCTCTTCAGAAAGTAACCTCAGTTTATTTTAGGCTAATACTATAGGATTGGCGGAGAACTCGTGCGTTTGAGGTGGCGTCACATCACATAACTGGTCACCCAGTGTTTGTTATTGTCTCTACAAATTGAGTTGTGATGTGTCCCGTTATTTATAATCCCGCCAGCTAGGAAATTCCTTTTTCACCACGCTAAAACTTGATTTCTGCAGAAATCCACAGAATTATGCATGTTTTATAGCCAAATGTATTGAGTGAAGGAACTGTAAGAGAATGGTGTAGGATGTTGAAAGATGGGAAGGCGAACGAATGTCCATGATGAAGAGCGAAGTGGTCGACCATCTGTAGTGAGTGATGATCTTGTTCAGTCGACCAAAAAAATTTGTGAAAGACGGCGCTTCACGGTTTCAGAACGTTGGCATGAATTTCCACAGATTTCACACCACCTTGTGTACGAGATTACAGCAGTTAGGCTAGGCTATCAAGTTTTTCGCAAGGCGGGCTTCGAAAATGCTCACGGGTGGTTCAGTTTCAAGCCTTCCTGCTGACACTTCGTTTCGACCCGCTCTTTAATCGTAATTAAAAAATTTGGGACAAGCCTTGCACACATTTTACTCATGTTCAAAATTTTGTGGACCTTACATTCATTAATATTAGGGCCAGGGCACACCAAGAAAACGCAACCGTAACTCAACCGCAATTTCCGAGAATTGTTATCAGCCTGAGTTTAACACGTGTTACTGTATGGCTTCCCACCGTGGCGGCCCGGGTTCGATCCCGGATCTGGTCAAGTGGGATTTGTGGTGGACAAAGTGGCACTGGGACAGGTTTTCTCCAAGTACTTCGGTTTCCCCTGCCAATCTTCATTCCACCAATTGCTCCACAATCACCCTCACCTGTCATCTGGGGCTCGTAAAATAGGCCAGAAGTGACTGCAGTACAAAGTACCTAGTCCCACCCCACTAGAAAAAAAAATACTGTATGGAGCAGCGCAAATTGAGGAAACTGCATTGCCGTTGTCCAGTAACATTAGTTCAACTCAGGCTAATAACAATTCTCGGAAATTGCGGTTGCGTTGCGGTCGCCAGTTTCCTTGGTGTGCCCTCGGCCTTAACTGGTGCATCGGCGATCGCTTTACTTGTCGAAAGTCGATTTTGACGAATGTAAACCCTCACAAGGTCGCCATTTGTGCTTGTATTCACAAACGCGGGATGTCCAGATCGCGGTTTATTTTTGACCGTTTCTCGCAAATTACAAAATTTCTGTGCCACCGAAATACCTGATCATGTGATGGAGAACCGTTACCAGACGCTTTCTGAATCTTTTCGTAAGTATACGTAGCGCCGTCCCGCGTCTTGACAGAAAACTTGATTGGTTAAAAGTTGCTGGCGATAATTCTTCTGCTTTTACGTGACGCTATACCAAAACATATATCTACAGATGTACACGAACCACAAGAGAACCGAACAGAACCACCCGAATTCACCCTGGCAAGCCGAGAAGTTCAAACTCGGACTGGAGATAGATAAGGACGAGGGAGGTAGATATCGTGTTGATTATGTTGTAGTAGTCTCGGCGCTGTGACGTTCCCAGTTCTCGCACTATAGAATTAATTTTATTACTTTCTTATAAAATGCTGTATAGTTGTCTGTGTTTTAGAGAGGCTAGTGGAAAGTTCCGACATTGAAACATCTAATAGTGAACAGTTGTTTCTAAATGAATATTAATGATGTCCTTGCGGGATATTCTGATGTCTTGAACTAAAATCCTGTGTGTGCCGTACAATAAATGATAAACATTCAGTTAACGATTCCATCTGAAAATAACTTCCATACGCTGGATGAACTTAAGGAAATTTCACAATCGGAACTATGGAGAGTGTACTGAATTCTTTCTGGAAGATAGAGGAGTTGAAGACAAGCTTCTTCATTACTTTGGCAATGGTAAGTTACGTTGAAATTTATATTTATTATAAAATTATGTATGGAGTCAGTTGCTGGGAGTCACACTGAAATAAGTTCAATCCCTTTTAGCCTACTTTCTTTATTTTGAAAAAATGAAAGGCTTATGGGATCACCTTGCTGTCTGTGTGTATATCCCACTTTGCAACCTCTCCTAATTTTATTTTTTTATGCATTCATGTTGTATCATTCCTTTTCTGTGCCTTCTTGTATCATTTGTTTTCTGTGCCCTTAGTGTTCTATCAAAGGAAAGTAGGTGATTAGTTCCTTGTGAACTTCTTGATTTATTTGAAACTTTTTTTTTTTCAATATTAATTTAACTTGCTTATCATGTTGCTGTTCTTCTCAATAATAATCCTTGCTAGATGGAGATGAAATATTCATAAGCTGTAATAAATAGAAATAGATGAAGGGCTAGCTAGATAAGTAGATAGAGTGATGGGCAGATGGGTAGATATAGATGCAGCCCATAAGTCCTAGTAAATGGGCTGTAATATAAGCCAGATTTCAATATATCACTGTCAGAAAATGCCTAGAGATAAAATGAAGTTACAGAACAGTTTCTGGGAATAAAATTCACTTTAGCAGACTAAATCATTTAATTATTAATAAATGCTTAGAGATTTCTCAGTATATTTGGAAATGGCCAGCACTAGTGAGATGTGTGTAATAATAAGATTGTCTCCTGGGATGTGACTGTACAGAATATGGCAGAAAAATACCAGTGCTTCAGATGAAGCTGATGCCTTCATCTTGAAGGGAGAAGATGGAAGCATCTTGGTTACTTAAAAATTCTGGAACCCTTCTGTACCAGACTGTATGGTGTCTTTTATAGGATAATAAAATTAAGAACACATCCACACAAAGAAACTGGTATTATTTGAAATTCATTTTATATTTGTAAATATTTATTAAATTTCATGCTACATTCCCATTATTTTTTATCATCAACAATGATTTTGATTGATTTGTTTACCATCACCATAACATATAAACTGATGTAGAACCATGGGATTCTGCAGGTACCTTCTCCATATAATCGAATGCATGAAAGGATAGATTTACTTGTCAACTCTGATAGACATATATACTGTTGTTTGATTATCTTTTTCTAATCTGGAACTGTAAGATTCCCCATTATAGAACAGCTGATCATACCTAGCAACAAAAATTTCATCCCATCCTAAATTTTTCCCGATTTTCTGTGATTTTTGTGATGTAAACAGGGCGATGACGGCCTCAACTTGAGGAAGCTTCTTGTTTTTCCAAGGGTATTTGTCATCTGATATTGGCACTCCAACATCTTCACCCCTGTTTAATGCTCTTGCCAAGTCTACTGTTGCAGCCACCAGACCACGCCCTATACCTTTCTGGTAATAATTAACATGTGTGGCCAGGAACATGTGATCCAGTATTGTGGTTACTCCATAGTGCTCGAAGATATCCACCTTCTCTTCCATCTGTAAATAAAAGTAGTTTCAGTTCTGGTGCTTAATTAATTCGCTTAGTGGGAGGTGGAGTCCAACTGGGTTCACTCAGCACTGCGGCCACTGATTGGCCTAATGTAGCCTTCCCCGGGTGATTATGATGGAGAATTTGGTGGAATGAAGATTGTCAGGGGAAACTGAAGTCCTCGGAGAAAACCCGCCCCAACGCCACTTTGTCCACCACAAATCCCACTTGACCAGACCCCGGGATCGAACCCAGGCCGCTGCGGTCTCATTACATATATGCAGGTTATTTATTTACTTGTCTCAAAAACATTCTGAATTTGTCATTTTTCTTGTGAACCATTCCAGATACAAATTGTAATGGTTTGTCCTATAGTTTGTTGCTTGTTGCACATATTTGTGGGTGAATTCTAGAATTTGTAACCATCTCTCTGTACACAGTAATATGAAACAGTAGTGCTTTGGGCCTGATTTAAGATGGAGAGACAGGGGCAGTTAATGTGGGCCTCCACAAAACAGAAATGGAATCCATTGATTTTATTGAGAGACATGCTTCTCTAGAATCATGAAAAGTTAGTTTGTATTTTTAATCATTATAAGTAGCTCAAGCAGTTAGTCAGTGGCTTCCCACCACGGCAGCCTGGGTTCAATCCCGGGTCTGATCAAGTGGGATTTGTGGTGGACAAAGTGGTACTGGGGCAGGTTTTTTCCAAGTACTTCGGTTTCCTCTGCCAATCTTCATTCCACAAATTGCTCCACAATCATCCTCGCCTATCATCTGGGGCTGGTACAATAGGCCAGAAGTAGGCGCAGTACAAGGGACTTAGTTCCACCCCACTAGCAATAAAAAAAATAAATAATTATAAGAAATAGGCAAAAACAAAATCTTAACCTTTAAATTTTTAGTTACTGATAGAGGCCTTCACATTTTTGTTCTCCAGGGTCCCCAGAACTGTAAATCCAGCCCCAGTACTGCTACTAAATTGTCACTTGCATAAGAATAATGACAGTTTAGTTTTGGTCATTTCACCCATACCACAAAACTTTCTGTCAGCAGTCGATAAATGTTAAAGCACATTGTATGTCTGCAATTTCTGCTTTTGACTCAGAAGTGCATGTGGAGAGAGTTCTTAGGATGGTGATAATAGGAGGGGTGGCTGAGGAAAGGAGGGGAATTAAGGGAGTGTAATTGTGATATTCCCTGCTGCATGCACTATGGATTGTTACTCAGCAAATAGTCATGAGATTATTGGTGTTGTATGAGAAGAATAGTGTGATCTGTACAGAATGCGTCCTAAACTAATCAATTATTGTGTTCCCTCTAATGCAACACAGAGAATGTATGACACTCAATTTATTTTATTAAAATAAATATTAAGACTAAGCTACACAGTGCAAGAGTAAAGACCATAGCCTAGTCAGGCTAGCAAACACTCATCTGGCTATTCTAAAGCTTTATATGTTTATCACATTTACTATCCAACACCCAGCAACAAGTGGAATAAGGGATCATACCCTTGTGGCTCCAGACTCATTTACCCTAGTTCACTCCAGGTTTGTTCAATTTTACTTAATCCGCACGCCAACTTTATTTTTTATATGTAGATTGTACCCAGGTTAGTACTGTTCATCTAACAGAAATTCATTGTAAATATTGGCCCATATGAAAAGTAAACTGTGTTGTCATTCAATAGAGCACTTAAGTTTTTGTTTTCACCCGACGATGACCAGATAAAAATAGTTGAAACATGTTGTGATTTTAATAAAATAAATTGAATGTTATACATTCTCTGTGTTGGATGGGACATACTAATTGATAAGAATAGTATAATTATAGTCATCTATGAGGAGTGCTAGATAGTTCAGTCAGTATAGCGCCTGGCTACGGGCTGGAGGACAGAGGAGTCGGGTTTTGAGTCCCGATGTGGCAACAATTTTCACATCTCCATGTCATCGAGACAAACTCTGGTGTCCACTCAACCTCTTATACGATGGATACCAGTTGCTCACCAGGAAGTAATTAAATAATTTTCATGGGGAGTAAAGTGCGGCCGGTGCGTAAGACTGACAACCTTACCACCATCTATGAGCCGATTGTCTAGCTAATGTGGGACCCTCAACGTCTCACAACCCTATGGGCCTTCACGGCATGTTACAGGGATAGCTTTACTTTTTATCAGCATATATAGATAGAATGATGATTACATTTCTAAAACACAGATTATGTTTTCCATGAGATCTAGCCAGGTCTAACATGATTTACTCTTCAGAAATTAGTTGTAAGTTATAGTTAGGACTTGGAGATAAATTGATTGATTGTAGAATTCTAATGTAAAAGGTGCTTGTCATTATCATCATTAAATTTGCATAGACTCTTATTCAGAGATGACTGTTATGGGATCAGGATGGAAATGGCCTTCAGAACTAGACAGGGCAGTAGAAGATCCCAGAGAATGAATAAAAAAGTAAAAGAGGTAAAGCTATCCCTGTAACATGCTGTGAAGGCCCATAGGGTTGTAAGACATTGAGGCTCCCACATTTTCTAGACAGTCGGCTCACAGACGGCGGTAAGGTTGACGGCCGCCCTTTAGCCCCCATGAAGATTCCTGGTACTCATTTCTGTTAGAGGCTGAGTCAACCCCAGGGCCATAGTGCGGCTGGAAGGATTCGGTAAATTGAAAAAAGAAATCCAGCTCATCAGGACTCGAACCTGCAACCTTCTGAATTGTAGCATAGTGCCTCAACCAAATACGCTACCGTGTGCCTCCCAGAGAATGAATTAATATCATGTTGTAAAGGAAATTGTTACATTGCAAGTTCAGAAATTCTTTCCTACATGTATGGTCGTTCGGAATGATACGTATGACGTTGGATTTGAGGTTATCACTTGGGTGACTATGAAGAGTATGACTTTTTTGCCTGAACGCCATTTAGTTTGGAGAGAGTCTGACATTTCAGAGAAATATACTGCTCAGTTTGACACCTGCATCAGCTGATTTTTACTTGGCTTAGTCTTTCACTCTGAAAATGTGGGCAACATGTTTCTCTGAGACAATGGGCTCTTTCTGAACTATGTGGTGTTAAAACCCAGAAGACAGCACTCTTGATAGTTATAAAGCGTTATGGCGCCATGAAGAGCTTCATTAAAGAAAGGTGCTCTAGAACTAGGTACACAGCATCTGCCTCTTCCACCCCCCATTTCCAACCCTGAATGGGTTGCAAAGGTGTTTTTGGAGGCACTGATTGTTGGAAACCTTATGGATCTGTGGTAGTACTTCACCTGGGATACAAATCTGATGATCTCTTGATATGCGGGGTCTGAATCTGTAGATTTCATTTCTTTCTCTAGGTAATTGGCAAATTCTGAGTCTCCTTTAACCTGAAATAGCAAAGCAGAGATGTAATTGAACTTTTTATTGTTAAGAAACGGAAGACAGACATCTAACTGCCAGTCTGTGGATATATAGCCAGAATTATATAAACAGGTATACTGAATATTTACTAAAAGGAAAATTAATATATTAGATACCAATTTAAATTTTGTGAAAACATCTTCTATTTCACAGTCAGATTCTGGAATACTAATAAGCAAATGTCTAAGTAGGTTTACAGAATAGGTAAACAGGCAGTTCTAGTCAGATTACAGAACCTGTAATACCTCTATTGTGTTGTCATAATAAATAGAGATACTTAAGTTCCAAGTAGTTCCAAGTTGTTTTAGTTTGCTGGAACTGTTCTTCCATGGGTATGTAATGTATATGTCTAAGAATTTGAAATGGGAAGGAAAACCCCCACAAAATTTTTATGGACTATGCAGCTAGGATAAAATACCAACAGATGTCACATCTGTCAGATATAGCAATGTTTGTGTTCACAAGTTTAAAGCTGTAATTATTTAAATTCAAACAAAGGGGGTAAGATGGGCGTTGCATTTATTTTGGTAGGAGAACCTGAAGGAAACGGCACTTGGAAGAACTAAGCATATATGAGAAGATAATATTAAAACAGGTCTTAAGGAAATGGGGTGGGGTTTTGGAGTGTAATCATCCCGCTTATGATAGCGACTAGTTGTGGACTCTTACGAACGTGGTAATGAACCTTTGGATTCCATAAAATGCTGGGGGAAGGATCTTCAGCAATAAATGAGGAGATAAATCTAATTTAGATGACATGAAATAGTGGCCAAACCAGACCTGTGATATGGAATCAGAAATGCGGCAGATATACACCTGGACAAAAAGGGAAATTAAGGCCTGATTGGATAATATTCTCAAGAAGATGACCTGGAATCTGTTTAGAAGTTCGTGTTAGATACCCGGATTATGAGGAGACATTTACAAAAAAGAAAATTTCTTGAACAATATTCAAGAGAATCAGATCAAAGTGGTGATTCTGGCCATGTCACAGCGGTGATTCCGGCCATGTCACAGCTTGGGACAGTAGTTATCGGTGTCTAGTCTCAGGTGCCCAGAGTTCAGTTCCAGGGCAGTCTCAACAAATATCAGTGGAACAGGATTTTCTCAGATTACTTCTATTTTCATCGGCCAATCTGTATTAATGTTCTGTACTTATCTATTGTATAGGTAAACCTGTTTGTGGCAAAGAAACTTCATCCATCCTACTCAAGGGTACAACTGACATTGAAAAATTGCACAAACCAATTTTGAAAGAGAGATTTAAATTACAATTCTAAAGGAAAGAGTTTAATGTAAGGATCAAGAAAGGTATGACAGGGTTTAGGGTCACAAAAATGAAGATTTGTTACCTGGATCCTATTCACTGCTATGCCTACAACTTCATCACTCTCCACTTCAACTGCAATCACGGAGACACCGTTTTGCATCACTATTTTAACTAAATCCTCAAACTGTCTTGATCCTTTGTCAGTTTGTGTTATACCAATCACCCTGCAGACGGTTTCATTAACGTTGAAAGAAGTCCTCAAGACTGACAGAGCACCGGGAAGATACTTGGCGCTTAAGGTTTCCCATCTGAATCTCTTGTCTGGACTTTGCTGCCATATTCGTACTGCCATATTCCTGAACAGAATGGGAAATCCAATCATTCGAGTTTGTATCGTCTGATTTACTGGCAGTGTTGTTAAATTAAACTACAAATAAACACACACAAGGCTGGAAAAGTTAATCTGTACTGGAATACAGAGTTTCTACATGTGTTCTTTGCAACATATAAGGACTACTAATATCAAATTTAATAAAAGTCTGTCCATTGATTACTATCTTCAGTAGACAAATAGCTTTCAAAACTTTTTTTTGAATAGACATAATGTTACCTTAACTACTGTGTGAAAGTGTACCCCCTTCTATAGTTTCGATATTTATGATAATCAAAATGGCTGTGAAACCCTTTGTAAGGAAGTGTGGCACCTCATTTCATCAAAATACATCCAGCATTTCTTTGGTTTAAACATGTACACATATGGACACGCACATCTCTCCTCTTTGTATTCAGTTCATGTATGTCATGCAAAGGGTTCATAATAATAAGCAGGGCCCGGATTTTGATGACATGTCATCTTTTTTTCTTTATGTAGTAAGCGTTGCTTTTAAGTACTAAAGCCTCGATTATGAACCTCTGGTTATAAAAATGTGAATTTTATTGTGCATTTTTTTGTCATGTTTTGTATGTTTTAAGTTTTAGGTTATTTTTTCAAGTTTTTACGTTATTTTTCGTCATTTTTTCACGTTTTACATAAATTTTGGTTATCTTTCACGTTTTTTTAATAATTGACATTCATTGATAAACTGAAGATATTTGATTCATGAGGTAGAAATCTATGTTCTTCAAGTAAATTTTGTTTTGTATCTCAAGCCTCTGTCTCTAAATATAATAGATTTGTTTGTGAGAGGGCACATTAGTTTTCTTTCTAAGCCAGAGATGCCGTTACTGTCCCGCGCCGCTTTCTAAGCCACCGCTATGTCATAAACTCATAAAATTGATGCCTCAGAAATGCAGAGGGATAGATTTAAAGAGATGTCCGTGTGTCATAAAGTCAAGAAATTGGAAATTAATTTACACAGTCCGCATCTACCCGATTTTAAGAAAATTTAGAAATTAGTTTTTAGGTAATTTTTTTAAATTTTTAAGTCATTTTTTTAAATATTTTTTGGTCATTTTATAGATCATTTTTAAGATATTTTTAGGTCATCAAAATCCGGGCCCTGGTAATAAGCCATCTCTGTTAGGGTAAATTTGTCCCTATGCTTAATTGATTAAATACTACTCCATGAAGATGTATGGGGGGAGTGGATGTATAGATCAAGGTATTCTTGAACTCGGTACTATCTGGAGATGAGTGGTCAGCTTCATGCCCCGGTCACTTTACCCCCAGGGAAATGGCCCCACAGTACTCATTGGATAGTAGCCTGGGTGGGCCCCAGAACTGGTTCCAACGACATGGAGAGGAGAGAAATCTTTCCCCTACTGGGACTCGGTGGAGCTGAGCTCTTCTTGAGAAGCTGCCAGTCTCTTATCTACTCAGGATTTTCCCAACATTTTATGGAATCCTAAGGTTCATTAGAGTGTTCACAAGAACCCACCACTGGTCCCTATCCTGAGCCAGATCGAGCCCATCCACACCACCCCATCTTATCTTTCTAAGATACATATTAATATTATCCTCCCACTTACATCTAGGTCTTCTTAGTGGTCTATTTCCTTCTGGCTTTCCTACCAAATCCTGTATGTATTGTTTTTTCTCCCCATGCATGCTACATGCCTGGCCTATCTATTCCTCCTTTACTCATAATTCTAATTATACTTCGTGATGGGAACGAGTTTTAAAGCTCCTCATTATGCAGTTTCCTCAAACCTCCCGTCACTTCATCCCTCTCTGGTCCAAATATTCCCCTCGCAGACTGAAATATCCTGGTCATCCGGCTAGTAGACTTATACAGTGTGAGTTACTTTTAGTGTCACAAAATGAACTGAGAGTAACTAAATACCGTATTTACGCATGTATAGGCCGCACATTTTTTGCCAAAAATTCAAGAGGAAAACTGGGGTGCGGCTTATATTCGAAATATTCGAAATCACACGTCATTTAAAAAAATTATATTCATAATTAGTAATACAGGGTGTTCTACTCCTGAAATAATATTCCAAGAAAATTATTTTTTCTATAATTTCTGTCTGAAAATTGTGCTGCGGCCTATACACGCACGCGGCCTATACATGCGTAAACACGGCATTGCGTTGTATTCCCAATTGTAGGAGGCGAGCGTGCAGTCAGCAGTGAATGTCCTTACCTGACAATGGCCGAAAGGCCGAAACTTGCAGTACAGCAGAAAGCCGATTATCCGAATTGCCAATTAACCAGATCACAGCAAGCAAGAAACGCGTCACCTAAACAAACATCATTATTGGACTTTTTTCAAATAAATTGTTTGAAAATATTAATTTATTATTACATTTACTAATTTTTCATTTTTTACCCGTTTTAAAAGTCTTCTTTTAGTTTTATTGTTATAGTACAGTATATTATAATATTTTTTTTTCCTTGGATAAGAATTTAATATGATTATCTGAATTTTCTATTATACGAACCGTATTTGTCACTAAATTAATTCGGATAATTGGTCTTCTACTGTTTTATTTATACAGAATTTATGACGAGAGAAATAATTACAAACAGAATGGACCGCACCCACCTCTGAAAATTGTTCCACTACTGTGATGCAGGATGCAGAGTAGCCCAGAGACGAATGAGCCAAACAGAACTCGAGGCCAAATGACATGGCCTTGTAAAGTCCCAGTACTTCCTAAGCCGATTGCCAATTGGTCCTCATTCATGGACGTGTAATACTTGCAGTATCGACTCAACATGACGTTACATTTGCCCCCCAATTATGAGGTTATCAAACACGATGGCCAACTTCACTGAAATTTGTTTTTTGCGTTCCGTGACATGGGCGGCCCTGTTTTTCTTGCAGGACATTTGTGTAATTGCTTTGCTGTAGGACAAAACAACTTATATAATATAAACAGAATAAGCCGTTCAAGCCGTAACTCTTTAGACCTATATTCGGAAGGTGCTCAATTCGAATCTCTGCCTAGTGACAGGTTACTGCAAGATTTTCGTAGTTTTCTTCAGTTTTTCAAACAAATGTCAGTATCTCAAGTTACGACCGCTTCCTTACGGATCAGTTCTAATTCATCATTCATCTATCGTCTTCCAATCATTCGACTTTGTATAGTAAAACGTAAAGATATTCCTGTTAACAGTTCATGGAGGTCCATAGGCTTGTGATACGTCGAGGCTCCTACATTTTCTCTAGACAATCGACACACAGATGGCGGTGAGGTTGTCAGCCTTACACGCCGGCCTCCCTTTATGCCCCAGGAAGATTCCTGGTACTCATTTCTGTTAGAGGCTTAGTCGACCCCAGGGCCATAGTGTGGCTGGAAGGATTAGGTCAATTGGAAAAATCCAGCTTTTAGCGTAGTGTTTCAACCAACTACGCTACCGCGTGCGCTGTATAGTCTCCCCTGCTGAAAAGGCCGTAAAGTAGCCCAACATAAGAGTGGAAAATATACTTCAAACTGGATTAGATTCAACGCATATTCTCTGAGTGAATTCTGTACGGTTTTACAAACACTGGTCATTTCTGTCGGATCTGAGTTTGTCAGATCGTTGACTGTGAAGTGTAGTGTGTTCACGGAGGGGACGCCATGTAATTCAGTAAAAGTTATTTTGCTGTCTGCTTCTTGTCGGGTTCTTGCTTGGCTCACTCTTTGATCCTGAAAATGGACACAATAAGTTCTTCCGAAACGTCGTCGAACTTCTACCAAAGTACACGGGATTATGTCCCAGAAGATGACATTCTTCATTGGCGTTACTGTTATTGTTTTTATGGTTTTTATTTTCTCATGCCGAACATACGAACGTGTTCTGTTCTAAATATAAGAAGACGGATCAAGGAACCAGCGTGAAAGCAGGTGGCAAACAGATCCTGGTTTCTTGCATATGCTCTTCTTTAACCCTGAAGATGGAGGCGACATGTTCCTCCGAAATGTCTCTTGTCTTTCGCTGGAATACACGGCGCTGTATCTCAGGAAATAGAACTCTTCACGATAGATAATATCCAAGAAACATGGCAATATTGACTATAATATAGTATAGCGTGTAGAGCCGTTACTATGCAACGACCGCCGGAGCCGTTCCTAATCAACGGCTCGGTAAACACGTTACCGCAGCAACAGACACCAACGTAACAATAGTACAGTAAGAGAGGAACGGTGTTTTCCGTTGCTATGGAACGGTGCGGTAAACATCTCTGCGGCCACGAATCTAGACGCAACAACAGAAGAGCTGTGTTTTGTACGTGGTCCGTGCCGAGAGGTTATAAGCGAGACGAGGTTTAGAATTTAGTCAGTGGTGTGGAGGCGGGTTCGAATACCTCCACATAGCCCTTCGAGTCGTAGGAGGCGATGAAAAGGGAACACAGAGCCTTTGGATATAACTGGGCCACCCTCTTCCTGGGGGATATAAATACGAGGACCTGGCCCTCCAGGTTTGGGAAGTCTCGAATCTGAGATAGTAAAGTATGGTCATGAGTCCCGCGGGACTTGGACCCAAGAATGACTGCGCTGGCGAGGACCAGCAGCAAGTGTAAACGAGAGATCAATCCTCTCGTCAGAGAGGATGTTACATAAGGACTATGACAGTATGGGTTCAGTTGAACAAAAAATGACCGTGGGTCTCAAGGGGCTTGGCGCCAAGACGAACTGATTGGCGGTAAACCGCCAGTTGTAAAGTAACTCCTGACTCTGAGTTTAGTCAGTTGATAGTCAGGCGGTGGGGAGACAATTTTATGAGTGATATTTGGAGTGTGTTATAGTTGTAGTTCATGTGTTAGAATCCGTTGCCAGGAAACGGCTAATGTAAACTATAATAGACCGAGGACACCAGTCTATGTGTGTGTGTGTGTCGGTGATATGTAAAGTGTTGTCACGAGTCGTGGGTGTATAAGTGGTGAATATATCGAGTCACCAATCAAACCCCGTCTATAGTCACACTCACACTTATGAAAATGGCATCATCAGAAAACTCTAGAGCCTGTGATTTTCTTTAATGCGTATATTTGGTGATACAAATCTTATCACTCAATAATTTATGTACGTATATTCGCATATATATTTTCATGTCTTTAATGTATATTAATCACTGATTTTGATCGGAACCGAGAAAGTTTACTTAACGTATCTGACTTGTATGCGTGAGTTTCTAGGTTTGACTTTCTGCCGGGTCTCCGACTATCTTCTTCAGGCTCTTGGTTTTACTCAGTATCTCGCAGTAGGCCATGACCTCTTGCCTCCACGTTCTTCGTGATCCAATTGTCACTGTTATCAGTTCATTCGACGTTGTGCAGCGTGAGTTAGGAAGAGTGTCTCTAAGTAAACTACAGATAAATAAAATAATTTAATGGATGGTTAGTATTCTTTCGTAATGTCTGCGATACCGGTTAGAAGCTGAACCGGCAGACCAGAAGACGCGTACAAGACGAGGTGCAAAGCTCCTAGCATTATGAACCTCCGAATTTATCTTCATACCGTGACACGATTTACAGCCCCATATTTTTACCCTCGCGGCCAAGTACCAGAATTAATCTCTGAGAATGGAAATAGAATTAGTACCCGAAGCGTGCCTACTTTAATCTGATAACTTGTCACGGCCGTTAGAATTGACGTCTTTAAAATTTAAGTAGTAGATGTTCTGAGAATATAAATATGTGAAATTGATGCAGTTTCCCGAAACGTCGTCCCCTTATTCTGACATTTTTACAAACATACTTTTCAGTCCTTATGGATAATTAAACGGTACTGGTCTGAGAACTGAAACAGTTTCCGAAACGTCGATACTTTATTCTGCCCAGGAATAATTTATTAAAATACTGCCTTGAACGTTCCAGATTTTATCTTACGAACTGTGGGGAGAGCACGTTGTTGTGTTTGACACTTCATATCTCGGGGGTCTTGGGTTCAAATCTCGGCCCAGAGACCCCCCCC